ACATTTCAATAAACATTCAAATGCCTCCGATTTAACAGTACATGTTATAAGATCAAGGGTTATGACATTTGGGAACTGCACTGTGATATAGTGATAGTCATCAAAGTGTTGCCAATAGAGACCCAGGTATTCAAGATTTGTTTGCTTTTGGGCCACTCTTTGCAAACATTGATATTGAAGTAATTCATTTTCCAATATATATGAAAATGCTTTTAATGACATGTTATTAATGATGATATCCAGTGTTTCTTCAGTGATGCCATTACTTGCGAGATATAAATACTGCACATATTTTGCGTTACTTTCCAATGGATTTATGACAAATTGTTCGCCAAAACCAAAAGAATAATTGGATCCCAATTTCACTGATACTATACTTCGTGGTAAAGATGTGAATAATTCCGATTCGTTTTGTAATGATTTCAAATATATACTTAAATGTGTTAGATTTTTCATTTCCCGTATCATTTCAATAATTTCCATTGAAATATAACCACAACATTGGGCCGTAAGTTTGGTGACTCTTCCCGACAAGAGTTGTCCCAATTGTTGAAACTGTTGACCTGTATAGTCATGGAAACCACACATTTCTAACCATTTGATTGATTGAAACGCTTCGAGAATATCATATAATGTCTTGAAATCTGTGCCGAAGTGACCGATTCCTAAGTATTCAATGTTTGGTAACTTATTTGACAACCAAATAATTCTCTCCTTGTTTTGTATAAGATGTAGGTTTCCCTTAGAATTATATGTAAGATATTGTTTAGGAAATGTGTAGCCATTAGTGATGGCATTAATCGGATGATAGATTCCACACCACTTCTCGTTCAATGAAATTGTCTTCTGTTTGCGGAACCAATAGTTAGCGCAAAACTGGAACTCTTTGGAGACTCTCTCCAAACCAATCAACTCATCGATAGTTAGATATGAGAAGATCTCAATTACAAGATCCCTATCCGTGAAAACTTTTTCGTAAACTGTTTTGTCTTTTTTATCACTCATTTCTTAACAAATTTCAAAACACTTTTCTTATACTGTAATTACAAATATATTTGAATCAAACTTTTAAATTTAAGTTATTGTATTTAGTTTAATAACGTATTTTGAATTAAACAATTGTTATGTTATTGTTATAATCACTAATTCAACACTTAATAATTTTATTATTAATTGTTACTCTAATACTATAAACAGATATTTAAGTGAAACCATTTTTATAATTTTTTTGTAACATATTATGAATGTCTTAAATGATGGATTAAATTCAATGTATAAGATTATTACAAATATTCAATTAATAATTTATTTACTTGAATTATTAAATTGGATAACATTATTTATTAAATGGATATAAATTATTAATTTAAGATTTATTTAATTTTAAGTTTTAGAAAATAATTCAATTAAAAAATTATAAATTTATATCTTTTATAACTAAATTCTAAAAACATTCGACATTTTATTACAAACTTTTACTGATTTTTAAATTTCTCGATATTTGCCTATCAATAGTGAGATCTCTGGTATTGTTGTGAACACAGATTGTGAACCATTTCTTGGGGTCTATTGAATACCAATCGATGAAATCAGTGATCAATTGTTGGCAAAGGTTTGCGTAATCTTCAAAATTGTCATTAATATAACGATTCAAATGAATGGCCGATAAATTGTGAAACTCATTGAATTGTTTACAAATAAAGTCTGTCTTTCCACTCAAGTCTTGATAATCAATGCCCAGTATTTTGGTTGTCGTGTGCTTTGCGACCAAATGAAACATTTGCCCAAAACATGTCAAACATTGACTTTCATTGGTTTCTTTAAAATTGCAATTTAATGAAATATTGCTTAAGACAAGTGTATTGAGTGTTGGGAAACCTATCAATAGTGACACAAACGCCTCTTCTTTCGGTTTACATTTATAGAGATAAAGTGTTTTCACTTTTGAGAATCGGATTGTATTTATCGTGAAGTGATAATCAAAGAAATAGTGAGAATTTAAACCAAAATATGCAAGATCTGCCTGTTTTTGGGCCACTTTTTGCAGATTTTCCCATTGATTCGACACATTCTCCAAATCATATGAGAATGCTTTCAATGCCATACCATTGATGATAAGATTTAATGCCTCATCTGTTAGTTCACTGCTTTTGATATATAAATACTGCAAATTCTTTGCTTTATTTTCCAATAACTTTGTTACCAATTGGTTGTCAATTGTTATATTATAATTGGATCCGATGTCCAATGATTTTATACTTTTAGGTAAACATTGCAATAATTGTATCATATTTTCTCGTTCTTCAAAATCTATGATTAAATTTGTTAATCCTTTCATTTCTCGAATTATTTCAATAATATTTTCCGAATGAATGCGACAATAGTTGACAACAAATTGTGTGACTCTTCCCGACAAGAGTTGTCCCAATTGTCGGAACTGTTGAGCCGTGAAGTGATCGCAACCGCATATGAATAAGCATTTCATTGATTGAAATGAATCGAGAATATCATAAAATGTCTGAAAGTTGGTCTCGAAGTGACTGATCGCCAAATACTCAACGTTTGGTAACTTCTTTGATAACCAAATAATCCTTTGTTTGTTTGCCATAAGACATGGCTTTTCGTCCGAATGGGTCTTAAGATATCGATTGGGAAACGCATATGACTTTGGGATCACATCTTTAGGCCGATACTGATTGCCACTAATGTTTGTGTTGAAAGCAATTGTCTTCTGTTTACGGAACCAATAGTTGGCGCAAAACTGGAACTGATTTGAGACTCTTTCCAAACCAATCAACTCATCGATAGTCAGATATGAGAACATCTTTTTCACCAAATCTCGATCCGCAAAGACATTGTCAACACTTTTATCGCTCACTTTAGCACTCATTATGAATCAAATCTATAGTTAATATATTTGAATTTAAAATATGTCATTAAAATTATTAACTGTTGTTGAATGACGTAACAATACAATTGTTGAATTTGTGATTAATTTAAAGATTAATAATTTTAATTATTTATTGCATTTAAACTTATATTTTAGTTACAATACTTAATAAAGTGATATAGATTTGCATGTTTTCTTATTAATTATTTTTTCATTACTATTTTTAAATAAATATAAATGTTTAACTAATTTTTTGTTTAAACATTTATTAATAAATAGACATTAATAATATTGAAATATTGATATACAATTTTTAAAATGGGTTTTAATAACTAATAAATAACTATTAATTCAGTGCTTTTAATGCAGAATTTTTCTAATTCTCAAATTCCTCGGTATTTGTCGACCAATATTGATATCTCCGGTATTGTTGTGAACACATATTGTGAACCATTTTTTCGGGTCTATTGAATACCAATCGATGAAATCAGTGATAAATTGTCGGCAAGTATTTGTATAATTCACAAGATTGGGATCACTATAGAAATTGACATAAATGGCTGATAAATTGTGAAACTCATTGAATTGTTTACACAATACGGCTGTTCTTTCCATCAAATCGTAATAATAAAGAAACAAATGTTGTATTTTCGTGTTCTTTGCCACGAAATAATACATTTGCTCAAAACATGTCACACATCGGTAAGTATTGATATCACAAACAATGGATGTGTGGTTTAGAGCAAGTGTTTTGAGTTTTGGACAACTTTTCAATAGACATTCAAATGCATCCGATTTAAGTTTGCCATATTTGAGATCAAGTGTTACCACATTTGAGAGTTGTAATGATCTTCTCGTGTAGTTATAGTCATAGAAATTATGATAATATAGACCCAGATATTCGAGATTAGGCTGTTTTTGGGCCACTCTTTGCAAACATTGCCATTCAACTGAATTATTTATAAATATATATGAAAATCCTTTTAACTCCAAACTATTTATTATAAGATCCAGTGTTTCTTCAGTGATGGCATCACTTATGAGATATAAATACTGCAAATATTTTGTTTTATTTTCGACTAAATTCAACTGAAATTGATTACCAATTGAAGTGAGATATTTGGACCCAAATTTTAGTGATATTAAGCTTTTTGGTAATAAATTGAATAATTGCGATACGTTTTGTGGCGAAACTATATACATAACTAATTCATCCAAACTTTCTATTTCTCTAATCATTTCAATTGCTTTATCTGAATAATAGTCACAACAGTTTGCCATATATTTAGTCACTCTTCCGGATAATAGTTGTCCCAATTGTTTGTACTCTTGTGCTGTGAAGTCATACAAACCACACATTTCTAAGCATTTGATTGATTGAAAGGCTACGAGAATATCGTATAATGTCTTGTAATCAGTCTCTAAGTGACCGATTCCTAAGTATTCAATATTTGGTAACTTCTTTGACAACCAAATAATCCTTTGTTTGTTTTGTATAAGACATGGCTTTCCTTCAGAATTGGTCTCAAGATATTGTTTGGGAAATGTATAGCCATTAGTGATGGCGTCAATCGGATGATAGATTCCACACCACTTCTCGTTGAATGATATTGTCTTCTGTTTGCGGAACCAATAGTTAGCGCAAAACTGGAACTGTTTTGAGACTCTTTCCAAACCAATCAACTCATCGATAGTCAGATATGAGAACATCTTTATCACCAAATCTCGATCCGCAAAGACTTTCTCAACAATTTTCTCCTTATTTTGATCACTCATTTTGAATCAAATTCAGAAATACTTTTATATAACTGTAAAAATCTTTGAGTGAAATATTTAAATCTTAAACATTGTGTTAAATTGATTAACAATTTTGAATTTTAATTAGTAATTGTTGTATTCATTACTTATTTTAAATATTATTCTTTAAAATGTTATAATTTATTTAATATAAACAAAATTTAATTTATAACAATTATTAAAGTAGAAATAATAAAGATTTGCATCATTTGTATGTTGAAAACACTCCATATTTTGTAATAATAAAAGATATTCTCACTCTAGATTCTAGAATTTCAGAAACCTAAAAGTCCTGTGTCACTTTTATGTAAAATTAGTAAGGTAAAACATAATAATTGCCCGTCTGTATACGAGCAAGCAAGTCGTCAGTATGTTTCAGCCTACGAGCTATCACTTCAACGAGCGCCCCGTATCGATCATTTAGCTCAGTTAGAAAATACGTGTACGCGTTGACGTAATCCGGGTCCACAATATGGGTCAACTCGTATAGCTTTTGGTCGCACCGCTCGACCGTAGGGCCAAACTCATTGATCGCCTGTTTTTGTGCCCGACATTTGTCGGCCGCAATCCTCAACGCCGGCAAATCGTAGGGCGTTGTGAGTTCTAAAAACCTATCTTTCATCTCATCCACCACTCGTATACACTCCCGGAGCTGATCAATGGTCGGGTATTTGTCCATAAGTGTCTGTTGGGCGCCGGTCGATCGCCGCTGGTCTTCTGTCTGTTTGGCCACCAACGGGACCAACACTTGGGTCCCGAACTGGTCCTTAACGCTCGCCAATCGCTGCCCTAATTGTTGTACCCTATCGTGGAGTTGCTCGACGGTAGCGGTACTGTTGCCACTCTTGCTCAGCGTTTGGACGTCAGTTCGCAAAGCGCTCACCAAATGATTCACTCGTGTCAGTTCAGCCCCGATATCATCGGTGTTAAAGTTTGTGGTCAATGAGTTTAGTTGTTTGACCAGAACCTCTTCGGCGGTCACCCTATCCCCGATTGCATCCAATGCCTCATCGCATCGCTGTATGTCCTCCGCGAGGCTTTTGGACACCCTATCCGTCGACTCAGTCTTAAAGAGTAGGCATTCGTAGAAAAATGAATTTTCATTTGATTTTATTTTATTTAGGGTTTCATTGAACTCCTGTTTGTTTGATGTAACCATGTTTTTAGCGATCGACCACTGGTTATAGGCATCGAGCACTTGACCACTGGTCGGCCGTTTATTGACCATAATCTCAGTCAATGACGTCAGCAAATCTTGCAAATGTTTAAATTGAGTGTAAAATGTGGAAGAATTATCGGTTTGGCAAACGCTGAATGTAAATACAATTTATGAGTTAATATTTAAAACATGGTAAAATACTTTAAGTAACTTTATACATACTTATTGTATATATCAAACAATGTTATACCAATTCCCCCGACACTATACATGTCTGATTTAATACCATATCTTTTACATAGATGTACTTCCGGTGCCATATATTTGGGAGTCCCCGCCCCCTGGGTGTGGCTTTTGGACGTACGGCTGTGAACAGTAGCCAAACCAAAGTCACCGAGTTTTACAAACGTGTTATTAGGACTGGTGTACGAAATGAGTATATTATCGGGCTTTAAATCCCGGTGAATGAATGGCGGGCTCTGTTGGTGTAGATATCGGACGCATTGCAAGAGTTCCCGAAATATTTCGCAACAAATGAAGTACTCGTAGAGATTCATGGCTTCAGCCGATTGTCTGCCAAACACTTGTTGTTTGTCTCGGAGTACAGACGCGAGTGTTTGCGAGCAGTACTCCATCTGAATGTAGAGTTGTTTGCCTTCAGTCCACGAGTTTTTGTATTTGACCACAAAATCTGAGTTCAATTTTAGGAGATTTTCCACTTCTTTCATCATTTCCTTCTCCTCGTTATTGTCTGTTGAAATATATTATTGAAAATATTTATAAGATTTTTCAATTTATTATAAAATTAATATTTACCTTCAAATTGTACTTTTTTAACTGCATATATATTATCATCCAATGTATGCCTCACTTTAAATACAGTCCCGAAAGCACCCGAACCTGCGATTGAAAGCTCAGTGAACTTATTGTCGGAAATGCTATTCATTTCGTTTACATTAATTGTTTTATAAGTGATTTGGCATTTATTAGCGTAAAGATCGGCAAAATTTTGATAATTTGTTTCAATAATTTCGTGTCTTTCTGTAATTTTATGAATTCTGTCGTTCATTAAAACACAAATAAATCCAATTTTATTGAATATAAATGAATTTATTTGTTGTAAATCTTCGAAATGATTTGTCGATAATATGTGTCTCGGGTTTTGTTCAATGGTTTCAATACTATTTTCGTAATGTTTTCCACAAAAATATAGAAACCCTTTGAATGTCAAGAAATATATGCCATAAACACTACAACAGATTGACTTCACGTCAGTTATAGTAGATATCAATTGAGGTTTAAATAATCGGCTATCAGTTATATTGTGTCCCAATTCATAGCCTCTATTGTCGCCCCAACTGAAGACCTGTTTATCGGATGTGATGACAAACGACGAGTCATAACAACAATAAATGGATTCAATTATAGTATTATTACTGAATTGTAACTCAAATGGTGAACAAATTAATTCATTGCTATCTCCGCAACCAATTTGTCCCAAATTGTTGTCACCCCAGGCATACACCCGGCCATCGCTGGTGAGACCCAATGTGTGATGAGTACCGCAACTAATTTTAATAATATCTTTATTATTGAAATATGATATTAGCTTTGGTTTTAGATATTTTGCATCTTGTTTAAAATATTTAATAAAACCAGATTTTTTGTCCATGGCCAATTGTCGCCGTGCGTTACAACCCATACCATATATCCCGTTATTTTCATTCACTGCTAATACAAAATCCAATCCATTGACAAAGTATTGTATGTTTTGATGACATAATTGTGGTATCAATTTAGGTGATAGTATTGGCCGGTTGTGTCCCAAACCCAGACACCCGTTAGCATTATTACCCAAACCATAGACCAGATCAGCATTTGTTATAACCAAAGCATTAATAATAGATTTATCAAATTTATTAAATTTTTCATAATCACAGAAAACATGTAATTTTGAAATGTTTTCTTTAATATTTGTCGGAATTTTATCACAAATTTCTATTTTCTCTAATAATTCACTCATTTTTTATTAATATTATATTTAAGTATTTCTAATATATTAATATTATATAAATAATTAAGTTAAAGTAATAATAAAGTATACATACTATAATACTTTACATACTATAATAAAGTAATATTAAATTAATAGCATTTTAATATATAGTTTATTGTTAATTAATGAAATCATTCAATATCATTAAATATGTGATTATCTCCATGGTTATTATTATTATAATTTACAAATATAATTAATTATAAGAACTATTTTATTAAGAATAACAATATCCTGTATTTGTATTAATCATTGATATACACACAATTTTTGACAAGACTACATTTTCCCATAGAATAGCATTAGATTACTACTTACAGGTATGCTTGATGATTAATTATTGAGTGTCATTGGAAAAATATGCATTATGCTTATTTAACATAGATAAAAACACAACTAAAATATTTTTATCAGTTGTTTATTATTGAGAAAATATTTAATAAACTAGTTGATAGAACAAGAGTGTCAAATATATTTCTTCATAATAAAAAATTTTACAAACATAAAAGTATATAGTCACTTTTATGTGAAATTAGTATGGTCTAACATAAAATCTGCCCGACTCTATCCTAGCAAGAGATTCGTCAGTATATTTCAGCTTACGATCTGCCCATTCAACGAGCGCCGCGTATCGACGCTTTAAGATATTTAGAAAATACGTGTACGCATTCACATACTTCGGGTCCACAATATCGGTCAACTCGTATAACTTTTGTCCGCACCGCTCGACTGTACGGCCGAACTCATGGATCGCCCGCTTTTGTGCCCGACATTTGTCGGCCTTAATTTTTAATTCCGCGAAATCGTAGGCCTGTCCCACTTCGGAGAGACGATCTTCCATTTCATCTACTTCTCGTATACACTCCCGGAGCTGATCAATGGTCGGGTATTTGTCCATAAGTATCTGTTGGGCGCCGGGCGACCGGCGCTCAGCTTCGGTCCGTTTGGCGACCAACGGGACCAACACTTGTGTCCCGAACTGGTCCTTAACGCTCGCCAATCGCTGGCGCAGGTGTTGTACCCTATCGTCGAGTTCCCCGACGTTAACCTCACTGTTGCCACTCTTGCCTAATGTTTGGACATCAGTTTGCAAAGCGCTCACAATATGATCCACTCGTGTCAGTTCAGCCCCGATATAATCGGTGTTGAAGTTTGTGGTCAATGGGTTCCGTCGTTTGACCCGATCTTCTTCGGCGGCCACCCTTTCCCCGATTGCATCCAATGCTCGATCGCATTGCTGTATGTCCTCCGCGAGGCTTTTGGCCACTCTATCCGTGGACTCAGTCTTAAAGAGTAGGCATTCGTAGAAAAATGTGTTTTCGTTTGATTTGAGTTTATTTAGGATTTCATTGAATTCCTGTTCGTTAGCCGTAATTATGTGTCGATCGATAGACCACTGGCTATAGTCGTCGAGCACTTGACCACTGGTCGAGCGCTTATCAGCAATACTTTCAGTCATTGACGTCAAAAAGTGCTGCAAATTATTAAATTGTGAGAAAAATGTGGTTGACTTATATCGTTGGCAATCACTGAATGCAAACACAAAAATATTTGTTAATATTATAAGTAAAGTGAGATATATTTTTAATACATACCCCGTATTTACATCAAACAATTTCATACCAATAGCACCGACACTATAAATGTCTGATTTAAGACCATATTTATTATGGGAATAAGCTTCGGGTGCCATATATTTGAAAGTCGCCGCCCCTTGTGTCTGACTTTTAAATGTCCGACTATTGACAGTAGCCGAACCAAAGTCACCAAGTTTTACAAACGTGTTATTAGCACTAGTGTACGAAATGAGTATATTGTCGGGCTTTAAATCCCGGTGAATGAAAGGCGGGTTTAGTTCGTGTAGATATCGCACGCATTGCAAGAGTTCCCGAAATATTTCACAACAAATGTAATACTCGTAGAGATTCATGGCTTCAGCCGATTGTCTGCCAAACACTTGTTGTTTGTCTCGGAGTACAGACGCGAGTGTTTGCGAGCAGTACTCCATCTGAATGTAGAGTTGTTTGCCTTCAGTCCACGAGTTCTTATATTTGACCACAAAATCTGAGTCCAATTTACGCAGATTTTCCACTTCTTTCATCATTTCCTTCTCTTCCTTATTGTCTGTTATATTATTGCAAACATTTATCAGAAATTTTAAAAAATAATAGTAATTAATAACTTAAATAATAATGTCATTTACCTTCAAATTGTACTTTTTTAACCGCATATATATTATCATCCAATGTATGCCTCACTTTAAATACAGTCCCGTAAGCGCCCGAACCGGCGGTCGAGAGTTCAGTGAACCGGTTGTCAGAAATGCTATTCATTTCGTTTACATTAATTGTTTTATAAGTGATTTGGCATTCATTAGCGTAAAGATCGGCAAAGTTTTGATAATTTGTTTCAATAATTTCGTGTCTTTCCGTGATTTTATGGATTCTGTCGTTCATTACAACAGAAATAAATCCAATTTTATTGAATATAAATGAATTTATTTGTTGTAAATCTTCGAAACGATTCGCGGATAGTATTTGTTTCGGCTTTTGTTCAATGATTTCAATTATATTTTTGTAATGTTTTCCGCAGAAGTATAGAAACCCTTTGAATGTCAGGAAATATATGCCATAAATACTACAACAGATTGACTTCACGTCAGTTATGGTTTCAATCAATCGGGGCTTAAATACTCTCTTATCGGTTATATTGTGTCCCAATTCGTGGCCTCTATTGTCGCCCCAACTGAAGACCTGTCCGTCGGATGTGATGGCAAACGACGAGTCATAACAACAATAAATGGATTCAATTATAGCATTATTACTGAATTTTATCGCAAACGGTGTACACATAAATTTATTGCTATCTCCGCAACCAATTTGCCCCCAATTGTTGTCACCCCAGGCATACACCCGGCCATCGCTGGTAAGACCCAGTGTGTGATTAGTACCACAACTAACATCGATAATATTTTTATCATTCAAATATGATATTAGCTTAGGTTTGCGATATTTTGTATCATGGCTAAATATGCCAGACTTTTTCTCCATGGCCAATTGTCGCCGTGCGTTACAACCCATACCATAAATCCTATTATTTTCATTCACTGCTAATACAAAATCTAATCCATTGACAAAGTATTGTATGTTTTGATGACATAATTGTGGTATCTTTTCCGGTAATAGTATCGGCCGGTTGTGTCCCAAACCCAGACATCCCTTACCATTATTGCCCAAACCAAAGACCAGATCAGCATTTGTTATAACCAAAGCATTTAATAATTTGTCAAAATCACAGAAAACATGTAATTTTGAAATTTCTTTTCTAATATTTTCTGGAATTTTAGCACAAAATTTTATTTTTTCTAATAATTCACTCATTTTGCATAATATAATATTTTAATATAACTACTTTTAATAAATTAATATTATATAAACAGTTATGTGATTTAAGATAGTAAAATCACCTTGAACAAATAACACTTATATACAGCAATTTAATAATGAAAACTATTGAATACAGATTTAATAGAAATTAATAGATATACTGTGTAATACTTTATTTGATAATATTCATGGTTATTAGTATTAATTACAAATATTAATAACCAATAAGATTTTAAGTTTAAGTAATCTGTTATTTAGAAATTCTATTTCTCACGGACTATAACTAGTATTGCCAGACCCCCAGCAATTATAGAATTCAGGAATTGAACAATTTTTCCAGGAAGGGGTCATTCCTGGAGATATAAAATTGCATGCTTTATTTTTACTATAATTGGTTTTTAAGGCCTTAGTTTACAAATTGCATTCAAGCGTTTCTATAATTATGTGTTGTAATAGTGGACATATAAGAATCTTATGCAAAGTATCTAATATTAATTATTTTTAATAAATTAAGCTATCGAGATATTGTAATAATTAACTTTATTTTCAAAAATTCATTTAATTTGTATTTCAGTAAGGGTTACCATAGACAAACATATAAATATTGACAAATTAATTTATCCAGGAATCTCGGGGACATTTGTTTAAAAAATGAACTAAATTTAGGATTTGAGAAAATTTTTCTGGCAACACTAACTATAAATGATAAAGACTGTGAATATTGAATTACTCGATTATCAGATAATTTCATATAAAAATACTTCATTTCATGTAAATATGTTACTTGAAATGAAAACATGATTAATTTGAAAAATTCTTTTTTTCTAAATTTCAATCTGAACAAATTGGTATAGCAATAAATAAGTCTATTTTGAACACATTTAATAATTGAATATGCTACATTTTTGTTCTAAAACTCTAGGAACAATTTTATTCGTAAATGATTTAAAAACATTTGTTTACAAACCAACTTGCAAAAACAATTGCTAACAATTTATTCAATAATTTAACAACATTTCCAAAGTTTCATATTAGAGTTATATTGTATTTTATAGTCAAAATCAGCGACACATTTATTATGTTATGCCTTATTTATTGCCTTGATACTATGGCAACTATACATTACATATACGATTGCGTAATATATCCTCTGACATCATACAGTTGTTGTCATAGTATGCAGAATGTTGTTTATCTTATTATAAGTCTATGACATATAACTGTAAACATAATAAACACTTTCTAATGTCAGACATTGTTGTTCTGGTTTATAAGTATTAAAATCTATTATATATTAAATTGAATTATTTACAAATATGTTTAATTTAATGACAAAAAATCTATAGTTAATCTCAGAATATAATGTTGGCAAATATTAAAAGGTATTTTGACTATAAATTATAAATAATAATGATTTATTTTATTAAAATATATTTCTATTAAATTCATAATTAATTAAAGGTATTTCAAGATTAAAAAGAGTGCTAAAAATGTTGCCAAAAGTGTTAATAGTGTTGATAAAGTGTTTGGTTTAGAAGAGTTGGTAATAAAGATCTTCTCATTCCTCGACATCCATGAGTTGATACCTCTGGAGAGAGTCTCAAAACAGTTCCAGTTGTGCGCCGACTATTGGTTCCGACAGCAAAAGATACTATCATTTAATGACAATTACTGTGGAATCTATGACTTTATGCCAGACATTGATGTCATTCGCAATTCATATACATTTCCCAAACAATATTTTAAGACCAATTCTGATGGAAAGCAAAGTCTTATAAAAAATAAAAAACGAATAATTTTGTTGTCAAAAAAGTTACCAAACATTGAGTACTTAGGAATCGGTCACTTAGAGACTGATTACCAGACATTATATGATATTCTCGGAGCGTTTCAATCAATCAAATGGTTAGAGATCTGCGATATTAAGAATTTTACGGTTCAAGAGTTCCGACAATTGGGACAACTTTTGTCCAAAAGAGTCGCTAAATTAAATGTAAACATTTGTAGCACTGATTCAGAAAATGTCATACATTTTATGATACAAGAAATGAATTGTTTAACAAAATTAATGATAAATTCTACTGAAGTCCACCAAAATATATTAAATCTATTTAAATGTTTGCCTAAAAGTATGAAGTCTTTGAGGATTGGCTCTGAATATATGGTTACAATTGACACCCAATTGGCGACAAATCTATTGGAAAGTAATGCAAAACAATTGCAGTATTTATATCTGGAAAGCGTTGAGCTTAACGAAGAGGCACTGGAACTGGTCATTGATAATATGGCACTGAAAGGCTTTATATATTCTTTGCCAAACACTACCAATCAGTGGCAATGTCTGCGAAAAGTGGCTCAAAAACAATCAAACCTTGAATTTCTGGGTCTCTATAATCAAGACTTTCGCGATTGTGATTACAATACAAAATCAATGCAATTCTCAAAAGTGAATACACTTTACCTTAGATACTGTGAACTCGAAGAACATGCGTTTGTGTCACTATTGAAATGCTTTCCAGTAATAAAAACACTTGTCTTATGCAAAGTTTCCATCGTTTGTAATGTCAATGAAGACAACGACGAAGAATATTCTGTGACCTGTTTTCGCCAAATGTATGGTTTGATAGCAAAACACACAGCGATTGAAACTTTGAGTCTCTATTATGTTGAAAATACAGCCGTTTTGTGTCAGCAATTAAATGAGTTTTACAACTTATCGGCCATTCATTTGAACCAATATATCGATGATAATCAGGAAGAATATGGAAATTCTTGCCTACAATTAATCACTGATTTCATTGATTTAAACACAAGAGACTCAAAGAAATTGATTACAATTAGTGTTGACAACAATATCGGAGATCTTTGTATTGACCGACAAATGCCCAGAAATCTAAGAATTTGTAAAACTTTGTATTGAGAATAATATATTATATATAAATTTTTGATAAAAAGTTAATTTATTTTAAATATCAACAGATATTGTCAGAGAATTAATTATGCATTTATTGTTTCTTGTTATTGCAACTCATTTTTAATACACAAAATGCTTGAAAATTTTGATTTTGCTAACAATTTATTAAATAATTTAACAACATTTCGAAAAGTTTTATAATATATTGTATTTTTTAATCAGAATCGGCGAAACATTTATTACTGTGGCAACTATTAATATACATTAGTAATGTAACATTACATGTACAATTACGTAATATATCCTATGACATCATAAAGTAGTTGTCATAGTATCCAGAATGTTGTTCATCCTATGATACGTCTAGAACATAGACTTTATATGTGGTACTAAAATTGATTATTCGGTTTGCAATCTGATAAACATGTAAACATAATAAACATATTCTAATGTCAGACATTGTTGTTCTGGTTTATAATTATTAAAATCTATTGTATATTAAATTATTTAAAAATATATTTTATATAATTTAATGACAAAAATAAGTGTTTAGTTAATTTTAGAGTATAATGTTGGCAAATATTAAAAGGTATTTTGACAATAAATTATAAATAATAATGATTTACTTTATTAAAACATATTTCTATTAAATTCTTAATTAATTAAAGGTATTTCACGAGTAAAAAGAGTGCTAAAAATGAAGCTAAAAGTGTTGATAGTGTTGACAAAGTGTTTGGTTTAGAAGAGTTGGCGATAAATATATTCTCATATCTGACTATCAATGAGTTGATTGGTTTGGAAAGAGTCTCAAAACAGTTCCAGTTTTGCGCCAACTATTGGTTAAGACAACAAAAAAGCATTGCATTCAACGAGAAGTTCTGTGGAATGGATTACAATAAGCCTAACATCGATGTCATTCATAACTCCTATACATTTCCCAAACAATATCTTAAGACCAATTCTGATGGAAAGCAAAGTCTTATAAAAAATAAAAAGCGAATAATATTGTTGTCAAAAAAGTTACCAAACATTGAGTACTTAGGAATCGGTCACTTCGACACCGATTACAAGACATTATGCAAAGTTCTCAATGCGTTTCAATCAATCAAATGGTTAGAAATGTGTGGTTTGTGTGACTTCAAGGATCAAGAGTTGCGACTATTGGGACAACTCTTGTCGGGAAGAATAACCAAATTGTTGGTAAATATTTGTAACATTCATTCAGAAAATATAATTAAAATAATATCAGAGATAAAAGGATTGGAAAAATTATCAGTTTGTTTTGTTGGACGCGAAACGATTGTTGAATTATTCAAATGTTTGCCCAAAAGTATGCAATCATTTGAATTTGGATCATATCATGAAATAACAATCGATACCCAATTGATAACAAATCTATTGGAAAGTAATGCAAAACACATACAATATTTATATCTGTCAACTAATTGGCTCACAGAACAGGCACTGGAACTGATCATCAATGGTATGGCATTGAAAGGGTTTTCGTATTGTTTGGAAAGTGATTCAAATCAATGGCAATGTTTGGAAAGAGTGGCCCAAAAACAAACAATACTTGAATATCTGGCTATCGGTGGACAACATTTCCGTGATTACCAGTACTCGCAAAATGGGATACAATTCCCAAAAGTAAAAAGTTTTTCTCTCTTTTATTGCGATCCTAACGAAGAGGTATTTGTATCGCTATTGAGATGTTTCCCAATACTAGAAATACTTTCAATGGACGGAACATATATTGCATGTGATGTTAATTGTGAAAACGAGGTGTGTTTGACATGTTGTCAGAAAACGTATGGTTTGATTGCAAAACACACGACAATTAAAGAATTGGGTATTTATTGCAATGATTTGAGTGAAAAAACAGCCGTTTTATGTGAACAACTCAATCAGTTTTGCAACTTATCGGCCATTCATTTGAATTATTATTGCAATTATAGTCTTAAAGATTACACAAACTTTTGTCAACAATTTATCACTTATTTCATGGATTGGTATTCAATAGACCCGAAGAAATGGTTCACAATCTGTGTTCAAAACAATACCGGATATCTTAGTATTGATCGACAAATGCCAGTAAATTTTAAAATTAGAAAAATATTGTATTAAAAGTTATGTTTAATACTAATAATTAATTTTTATAAAAATATATATAGTATTCCATTTGTAAAACATTTGTAAAATATTATGAATAACTCTTTGAAGTGAATTATACTATATTTAAGTAAATATTATATTATTTATGATTAGATAACTTTAAAATATATACTGTATAACATCTTTTGTAAATTTTATATCGAAAATAATTTATTCACAATTATTAACTGCTTTACAAAAGATATGAAGAAAAATGTCGGTAATTTTTAAAATGTAAACCATTTTTTAAGTATCCTTTCCCTAAAATTGTTCAATTATTATTATATTATTATTCTCGGACTTTCTCATAAATTTTATCCTTATTTTGAGCACTCATTTTGAATCAAATCCAGAAATACTTTTATATAACAGTAAATATATTTGAATTAAAGATTTCAATTTTAAAATATGTCAAAATTATTAACTTTTTTTGAATGACATAACAATATAATTGTTTAATTTGTGATTAATTCAAAGTGCATTAGTTTCTTTGATTTATTTCATTTAAGCTTATATTTTAGTGAAAATAAATATTAATAATAGAGTTATACTGTATACAGTAGATTTGAATACATTATCAAAAAAGTTTGATGGCAAGATAATTAAAAGATTCATATCTAATTTTTCGTTTTAAACATTTATTAATTAATAGACATTTAAAATATTGAGATATTAATATATCATTTTAATAATCGTTTTTAATAACTAATAATTTAGTGCTTTTAATGCAGAATTTTTCTGATTCTCAAATTTCTGGGTAATTGTCGATTAGTAATGAGATTTCCGGTATTTTTGTGAACACAAATTGTGAACCATTTCTTGGGGTCTATTAAATACCAATCCATGAAATCAGTGATCAATTGTCGGTAAATATAATTATAGTTATAACAAATGGGATCACTTCCAGATCTGAGACAATAGTCTATATAAATGGTCGATAAATTGTGAAAAGCATTGAGTCCTTTACACAAAACGGCTGTCTTTCTTCGGATTATCAAATCTTTATACCAAAGAAACAAATGTTGTATTTTCGTGTGTTTTGCCACCAAATAATACATTTGCCCGAAACATGTCATACATTGGTTAGTATTGATATCACAAGCAATGGATGTTTCCTTTAGGGCAAGTGTTTTGAGTTTTGGGAAACCTTTCAGTAGACATTCAAATGCCTCCGATTTAATCTTACATCCATTGAGATCAAGAGTTACCACATTTGGGAAATGCAATGATCTGTTCGTATAGTTATAGTCATCAAATAATTGGTGGTATAGACCCAGATATTCAAGATTCAACTGTTTTTGGGCCACTCTTTGCAAACTTTGCCAATCAATTGAAGGATTTTCCCGAAGCTTTGCATAAGACAATCCTTTTAATGTCAGACTATTTATAATGAGATTCAGTGTTTCTTTAGTGATTGCATTACTTGTGATATATAAATGTTGCAAATATTTTGCATTACTTTCAAATGGATTTGTGGCAAATTGATGAACGACGCCAAATCCAAAGCTATAATGAGACCCGACTTCCACTGATAGTATACTTCGTGGTAAAGATGTGAATAATTGCGATACGTTTTGCAATGTTGCCAAACGTATACTTAATTGTTTCAAACTTTTCATTTCTCGTATCATTTCAATCATATTCACTCTATCATAACCACAACTATTGGCAGTAAATCTAGTAACATTTTCCGACAAGAGTTGTCCCAATTGTCGAAACTCTCGAGCCGTGAAATAATAGAAACCACACATTTCTAACGATTTGATTGATTGAAACGTTTTGAGAATCTCATACAATATCTTGTAATCGCCGTCGAAGTGACCGATTCCTAAGTACTTAATGTTTGGCAACTTTTTAGACAACCAAATAATCCGCTCTTTGTTTTGTATAAGACATGGCTCTCCTTCAAAATTAGTCTCAAGATATCGTTTGGGAAATGTATAGCCATTAGTGATGGCATAAATCGGATGATAGATTCCACACCACTTCTCGTTCAATGATATTGTCTTTTGTTTGCGGAACCAATAGTTGACACAAAACTGGAACTCTTTGGAGACTCTCTCCAAACCAATCAACTCATGGATTTCGAGGTATGAGAAGATGTTTATGACTACATCTCTATTCGTAAAAATATTATCGTTTTTATAACTCATTTTGTAGTAAATTCTGGAAAACTTGTGAAATAATAAATTGATTTCAGAAGACTTTAAATACGTAACGGTTTTTGAATTACTTTCGCAATATTTTAAAATTAATTAAAACAATACATTTTAATCTATAAAATACTTATTATTTCTCGTTATACTTTTCCGTTATACAATTAAAATAAATAATAATAAATTAATGCATTTAAAATTTATTTTATTCAGTATTTATTTAATTACATGTCATACCATGTTCAAACAATACATATTAGATAATTTCTTACTTATTATTACAAGATTTTAAACAAATACAAAATTAATGGCAAAGTTATTGTATACTGTAAATAGCGTTGCCAAATGATATTTTGAAAATCCTGTATAAATGTAAAAAATCTACCTTAAATTCCTGTATTTTCCTGTATCACAAATTTTAACCACAATTCAGTGATAAATAATGTGGTTTATAGGATCGTTCTATGTATAATATTGATCATATGGGACTTATGCATGTTAACTCTATGGAATTAGTGCTAAGTAAATGACAATTCTATTGTACTAATATTAAATCTATAGACAATGCTAATCTATTCGTTGACCATCACCCGAATTCCGCGATATGCCGAAATAATATATCAAGAGTTGATAAAAACTACTAAATTTACAACTCATTCTAGAAATATTTATTCCTGTATTTTTCAATGTACAGGAATTGCCCGTTCCTGTATTCTGCAAAAATCCCTTAATTCCTGTATAATACAGGAAATTCCTGTACGTTTGGCAACGCTAACTGTAAACGTTATTCTGGTTATAAAATGTCAGAATAATTTACATTAATTCTGTAATTAATAATATATGCTAGGTAATAATTAAACTGTATTATTAAACAGATTCTCAATAAGAAAATAAATAATTTGTTAAATAAGTTCCCTCTCGCTTTTCTCAGCACATAATGTTGTGATACATTATACGTCATTAAAAATATGGTGAATTAATTTATTAACAATGTATGCCACATGAAAATA